CCGCCCGCACGCACGCACGCACGCACGCACGCACGCACAGATATATATATATATGTTTAAATTCATTGTTAGAAAGAATGTCAATAATTTTTCTCTATAGAAATATGGTTACAAAGAGAAGGTTGGAATTAATGTTACTGTTAATTCAAATTCAAACATAAGCATTATTTAAAAATGGTTAATTTATTCCTTTAAATGAAACCAAACAAATCTTAGTATGTTAAAACAATTCTTAAAATATTTAAAATATTCTAATTTTATTTGTTATTTTATATCACGTCAACTTTGAATAAGAAAAGATTTAAGAAACTCCGTAATTGTTTTAACTCACATCATGATAACAATTAGCAGATTGTTGTCGGGCTGATCCTTAGTTTTATTTCATTTGTATCCTTTACAATGGTCTTCAGATTTTATGCAATGTAGTTTACACCATACATTAATTAATATTGTACAGTTTTAAATCATTTCATGTAATTGTAATTTTACTTATAATTTAATGAAATGAATTGCCGTGTTTGATATTTCTTATATATTATGATATTTTACTGCCCTTGCATGGCTCTCCCTTTAGTTTTTGAAACAATAGATTTTTAAAGGAAAAAAAACTTTGTTTATTGATTAATGACTTGAGCTTATACAGAGATTTTATATTCTTGCAGATAAGTCCCTAAATTTCTCTATATTCTCTATTAATCAATAGCATCCTAAACTAGATATAATTCTCAACACTCCCCCTCAAAATGGGGAAAAGAAGTCCATTAAGCCCATTTTTTCACACAACCTAAATAGATCTAATGAGCTAAGTCCCTTGTTGAGGCAGCCAGCTACTTGCTCTCCGGTAGCTACATCTCTAGTAGTCCACTATTCAACTTCTTCTTGATGAAGACCTATCAATCTCCACATGCTTGGTTTTGTCGTGTTGCACCGGGTTGTTGACAATGTTGATTGTTGACTAGTTGTCACACCTCAACTTCATTTGAGCTCCTTGGTCCAACTTGAGCTCTACCAATAGAGCTCTCAAGCATCTTGTCAACTCCTGAGGCCATGGCCCTATACTCTACCTCTGCAATCAACCTCATAACTATTGACTGTTTCTTGCTCTTCCAAGAGACCAAATTCCCTTCTACGAACGTGCAATATCCTGATGTGAAACTCATGTCATCAGCACAACTAGTCCAATCAGAGTCACAATAGGCATCAATGCCTAAACGCCCATTATTCTTGAAGATCAACCTTCCCTGGTGAAGTATTCAAGTACCTCAAAATCTGATATTACTACATCCATGGCCCTTCCTCGGATCATGTATGTAGGAACTCACCACGCTTACTCTAAATAATATTTTGAGACGAGTGTGACTAAGATAGATGAGATGATCTACTAACCACTGGTACCTCTCACAATCAACTGACTCTTCTGCCTTTGCACTCAACTTTCCCTTCTGATCAATTGGTGAAACTATATGCTTGCATCCCAACATGCATGTCTATGTGAGTGAGTCTATCACATACTTCCTCTGAGACAGAACAATCCCTATTGCTTAACTAGCTACCTTATCCCAAATAAGTATCTAAGTTGTCCCGTGTCCTTCACCGCAAAGTTTTTGCCTAATCTTGCCTTCAGCTGAGTAATCTTTCTCTCCTCATCATCAGTGACAGTCATATCATTCACATACACAACAAACATAGTAATGTGATCATTATATCGTCAAAAGAACACTGTGTGATCTGCATTGATCTGCTGATTTTCCATGCCTACCATTGCTCTATTGAATGTATCAAACCAAGCTCGTGGAGACTATTTTAAATCATTAAGTGACTTCCTCAGTCTTCATACCTTGCCCACTATTTGTTACGTGTCGAAGCCTAGGTTTATCTCCATGTTCTCTTCCTCTAGTAGATCCCCATGAAGAAACACATTCTTCACATCAAGTTGGTGTAAACTCCATCCACCATTTACAACCAGAGAGATGAGTGTCGTGACTACGCTCATCTTCGCCGCTCATATAAATGTCTTATCATAATTGATGTCATATGTTTAACTATATCATTTTGCCACCAACCATGCTTTGTAGCGATTCAATGTTTTTCTTCTGAGATCTGCTTCACTATGAAGATCCATTTGCACCTAACTACTTTTTTTCCTGTTGGTAGCGACACGAGCTCACACGTCTCATTCTTATCGAGAGCACCAAGTTCCTCCAACCTGACAAGTTTCTACTTTGGATCCTCCTTAGCTATATGCCAGCACTTGGGTGTAAAGACAATGTCCAAAAATGCAATGAATGCCCCGTGTACAGGTGATATACTAGAGTATGAGACAAACTGAGCAATATTATGTGGGAACCAAAACGATCAAAAGAATGGCATTGATACAATATGTCCTCCTTAAACTCGTGAGAATGGGGGAAGGGAGAGGAATCATATCACTTGTGTAATCTGATTCTGAGGTGGATGGTGTAGGTGTCTCGGGAATCTGGATAGATCGAGACAAGTGACTTGATGACACGAGTGACACGGTAGGCACTGTTCCCTTATTTTACCTCCTTTTTGTATACACAGTTTCCTTTGAGCATGAATCTCACTATCTTCAGGCTCATATTTCTCATTTTTGGCTCTTCCTAAGCCGATCCTTCCCTCATAATGGGGTAAGGCTGCTCCTCAGCCAATCTTTTCCTCACAACTGGACAAGGCATCGTTCTCACATGTACCAATCTCTCAAAATCACCACTCTCCCCTTCTTGCCTCATACCTCCATTATATGACGAGTCCCTAAAGGATGAGGACACCTCCAAGATATAATATAATTTTAATTCTCTAAATGTCACATTATACTCACAAATAGTCTCTTCTTTATTGTACTCTAACAGCCATACCTCTTCTGGGTGGAAAAATAACCCACAAAAACACATTTCACAGTTCTGTGATGCAGCTTCCTTATTGATGGTCCATTATCCATTACAAAACATACAGAACCAATTACTTTCAATGAGAGTATCCTGTCATTATCTCCTTCCAACAACTCACATATTCTTGAGGGTATTCTATTAATCAATTGTACAACTGTCAAAACCGCTTGCCCCCAGAAGTGTTTGGGACATTCATCGAGATCATTATGTTTTAGGCTACTTCTAGACAGTGTTTATTCTTCCTCTCTGCACTTAGTTTGGTGTCGGTGTGGAGGACATGTGGTTTAATGTTGTATCCCTTGGGTTGACAAATACTCCCCAAACATCTTGTTATTATCTGCCCTATTATCAGACCTTAATTCCTTCACTATTGTATCGTATTAAGTCTGAATCGCCTTGTGAAAGTTTTTAAAGTTGTCAAGCACATCACTTTTGTTTTTCATCAGATATAACCAAATAACACAAGAAAAACAATTAATGAAAGTCACAAAATATCCATAATCATTCATCGAAGTTATAGAATAAGGTTCCTATACATTTGAATGCATCGAATAAAAAACACAAGAACTCTTATTGCCTGAACTAATATAAGAGCTCATGGTATGCTTACCAAACCCACAAGCATCACATACAAGTTTTTGTTTATTTATCTCTTCATACAAAAATAGATGTAAACGACTCAATAGACTAAACGAAGAGTGTTCCATGCATCTTTGATGTAGCAATAACACATCCTCCACACTCCTAGTTCCTCCCACTCCGACACTCTCTACCATGGATGTGAAGGTTGAGTCTATTCCCTCTCCATCCAAGTACCAGAGTCCGCTTTGACATGTGCTAGTCCCAAGTCTTCAGTAGGTCTCCTTCTCTTGAAAAATCATTTTAGGGATATCAAATATAACAACATATTTTCGTTGGACTATAATGTATAATATGTTTACTTGAAAGGAAGGAGCATGCAAAATATTAGACAAAGTCATCAAATTCGTTCACTTCACTGTACCCCTTATCAACCACAGACTGTGTTGTACTATCAGTGGTGTGAATGCTCTGGAACTGCTAGATGTGTATATGAAGAGAACTCACTAGCGATACCTGTCACATGTCAAGATGCACCAGAATCTACTATCCATTCTGGTTCTTGTGGTGGTTATAGAGGCAAGAGTAATTGTATCATGAGCACCTTTGGCTGATTGAGCATAAGCAGTGTTACCCGCAAATGACGATAAGGTGGATGCATTCTCAGTCACATCACCTGTCACTCCTTGCTTCCTCTTCAACATCTCTAGGAACTCGTGATTCTTGTTTGTATAGGCCACCCCTATCTCTCCCTCATCCTCTGTTACCATCAGATTTACTTGGTAACCCTCTCGTCCACCTCTTTGGGCCCCACGACTACGACCACAGCATCAAGGCTGTCCGCATCCACCTCTCTCTCTCTCTCTCTATAGATGGTTTTGGACAAGCCTTGCGCTTAGAGGTATCCACTTTCTCCATAGTTGTAGCGCTTGCAGGTCACGTTCTGGACACCTGTCATACCTGGAGCGCGAGGCGGTTAAAGTGGAACATGTACACCTGTAAGTTTAGTTGAGTCGGGAGTGTAGACTTCATGTGACTTTCCTCCTGCATTATCACGGCGATGGCCTCATTCAGTGAAGGGATCACTGCTTGAGTTAGGAGGACTGATCTCCTCTGATCAAAGATCGATTTCAGATGAGCCATAAACTACATAGTCTTCATCTGTGCAAACATCTTCCTCTTTTTGCACCCTGGATCACCACGACTGGACATAGTTGAGTAGTGATCAAGATCTTGTTACAACCACTCCAACTCTATGGAGCACTCCTGAATCAATCCATCACACTGTACCACTGGCTTTATGTCACGCTGGACCTGAAACACTATCATGTCATTCTCAGTCCCAGCATAGGTCCTCTTCAACTTTGCTCAGATGACTCACATTTCGAATGCCATCCACTGATGAGGCAATTGATGAAACTCTCGAGTTGAGAAACCATGTGTAAGATAAGACGTGTGTAGGCCTCCACTAACCCCCCTTTGCATTGTCATCCTCTGGCTCAGCTTTTAGTCCTGTCAGTTATCCCTATAGTCTCGTCCCTACTAGAGCAGCCTTGATCTAACGTGACCAATTCAAATATGTGACCGGTCCATCAAGCTTCAAATCTATGTGAGGGAGATCTAGTTTCACCTGTGTTGGAGCACATGCTGAGGTAGTGGCTCCTGTCTAGACGCATTTCCTTTGCCTGACATCCTTAATCACAAAGATCCAAGTTTAGATCACACAATTTACACATGACATCCTTCTTCTTGATCTGATCTTGATCGAATTCACCCTCATGATCGAGATTGTCTGTAGTGTTGCTTGGGATTGGCTCATAGACAAAGTATCCCTATTAGCGGCGGTTATTTTGTTTATTCATTAATGAGAGCTTATATAGAGTTTTTATTCTCGGTTATTGTAGTGTTGCTTGGGATTGGCTCATAGACAAAGTAGATTTATAAAGGGAAAAAAAATTGTTTATTCATTAATGAGAGCTTATATAGAGCCTTTATTCTTGCACACAAGTCCCTAGACTTCTCTATACTCACTATTACTCAATAGAACCTTAACTAGATAAAATTCTCAACAGAAACGATGCGTCTGAGCGGTCATTCTAACATAATTTGTTAGTTTAGTGGTAGTTTCTTTGACATTTTTAATGAGATACTGAACTGTTGACATGAGAAAAAATTATGATATGAGGAAAAATTTACCCTTTCAAGGACCTTTATGGAACTTAAAGAGTTTGCTAAAATTACATTCTGATTCATTATATGACATTTACTTAAATGCTGTTGAATATGGATTTAACCATGTGCGCCTAATAGTAAGAATTGGCTCCAAAGGGAAATAGCAATATTGGGAAATCCTCACTAGCAAATTGAAGTGTGGAACTGTGGAAAGACTGCCTAAAACTCCTGCTCAGTTGCTGCACATGTTCCTCTAATTGATTGAAGTCTCTGAACCATTTTAAATTTGGGGCTTTTACATACATACCACCCAATTCCTATGTATTTATGTATCTAACACCAAAATTTTGTTTTTTACATTTATAGCACCCAAATCTTTCCTATCATATAAAAAATACCACCTTTTTTTTACTTTTGAAGAGTGAATTTCTTGCATAGGCAAGGTGGTATTTATGTAAAACTTGAAGTTTAGGTGTTAGATATATAAATACATAAGCATTGAGTGGTATGCATGTAAATGTTCCTTCTTTTTTAGGTGTATGAACTAGGTTGGGATTGGAATGACTACAATCAATTAGCCCAAGGGACCCTAGCTGGTCATCTTCTAGAGTGTGGTTGTCAACTCACCGGAGGCTATTTTATTCATCCAGGTATTTTCTTTTCTGCTTGATTGTTAATGAAGCTATATTTGGAAATTTACGTACATAGCACGTATTTACTTGTCTCACAATTAAAACTTCATGTTTTCATACATAGCACTTTGGTGCTTTAAACTTATGCACGAGAAGGTGTATTTCAATTAGTAATAGTGCTATTTTTAATGTGATATTAAATATTTGAGTGTTATATGTGTAATATGAAAGTTTAGGTGTGAGATATATAAATACATAAGAATTGTGTGCCATGTATGTAAATGGCCATATTATATTATTGGATGCTATTATTATGGTTCATTTTTTTGGTACACTATGTAATACTCCCCTTTGGCAGGTGACATTCATCGAGATATTTCTTTTGAGCAACTTTTAGATTTATCTCTTCCATTTGCTGAAATTGGATATGGTGGAGAAATATGTGTGGCTAAATCTGATGGCAGTGGTGGTGTTTTAAACCTTAGTACTTGTGCTGAGCAGCTACTTTATGAGGTTTGGGATCCCAGCTCTTACATTACTCCTGACGTGGTGAGTGAAATAAAGATTTTGTCAAACATTCATCCATATAGGGGCTGTTTCAGATCACTTTTATTTTTATATTTATTTGAAATACAATATGTTTGGCATATTTGATTAAGATATGATTGGGTTAAAAAATACGCAAAACACTTAAAAGTTGTTTTGAGCGTTTTCAAAAACATGTTAATTTATTTTAGAAACAATAAAATATGTAAAAACCACACTGACAAATATGTTTTTAAAAATTAAAAAAAAAATTTAAAAATATATAAAAAACATGATTGATCCTAACCAAGCCCTAACTGTTTGCTATCAAAGTTGTATATTGACTATAAATATAAACTTAACAGGTTATAGATTTGCGGGATGTTTATTTCTGCTCATTGTCGGATGATCGAGTTCGTTGTGATGGAGCTAATCCATCTACCATCAGATACCCTGAAAAACTTCTGCGCCTTACTCCATCAGTAAGTTTTTTCCAAAATTACAAAATGTTCACCTTATTTGTAGCTTAAGCTTCAGTGTCAGAGTATCTTCTATTGAAAAAATTGCAGGAGGCAACAAGAATCAAACCAACAGTTTCGTATCCCTTTCTTTTTTAATTTCTCATGTCATTTTTTCTACTTTAATTGAAATGTCATACTATAAACAATTATAGCACTGCAATTTTAAGCCAACTTTTACTCGAGTAGAAAGATTGCCATCACGAGTGCACTGCTATTCCGAGAAGTTTAGTAATCTAAGTAAAGAAAGAAATGCATTGAAAAACCTCATTCTATTCATTGATGATTTGGACTTCTATATAGCCTTACAACCTTTTTACAAATATCCCCTAGACTTCTACTATATTTGTTATCTATAATTAGAACTTTCAAAAAGATACAAATCTCAATACTTTCCCTCAATATGGCCAAAAGATATTCACTAGGCCCATCTTGTCATATAGTCTAGACAAATCTAATGAGCTAAGTCCTTTGGTGAGGCAGTTAGTACTTGCTCTCCAGTGACCACGTGACCTTGCTCTAGTAGTTGTTAGTAATTTTTTCTTGATGATGAACCTATCAATCTCCACATGTTTGGTTCTATCGTGTTGCACTGGGTTGTTGGCAATGTTGATTGATGGCTTGTTGTCACACCATAACTTCATTTTAGCTCCTTGGTCCATTTTGAGCTCTACCAACAAGGCTCTCATCCACATCATCTCGACAACTTCTGAGGTCATGGCCCTATGCTCCGTCTCTGCTGTTGATCTCGCTACTACTGACTGTTCCTTGCTTGTCCAAGGGACCAAGTTGCACCCTCCGAACATGTAATATCAGGATGTGGATCTTCTGTTTTCCGCACAACTTGTGCAGTCAGAGTCACAAAAATTCTCTATGCCTACATGCCCAATTTTTCTAAAGATCAATCTCTTCCTTGGATAACAGTTCAGGTACCTCAAAAACTGATACTTTGCGCTCATATGACCCTTTCTTGGATCATGCATATAACAACTCACCACGCTTACCGCAAATGCGATGTCGGGACGAGTGTGACCAGATAGATCAGACGACCCAGTAATCTCTGGTACCTCTCATGATCAACTGACTCTCTTGTCTTTACACTTAGTTTGTCTTTCTGATCAATCAGAGAGATTGCAGGCTTGCATCCCAATATTCATGTTTCTATGATGAGATCTAGTACATACTTCCTCTGAGATAAGTCCATCTCCTCCAGTCTATAGTCCGCCTCAATCCCAAGGAAGTATCTGAGCTGCCCAAGAACCTTTTCACCTCAAATTCTTTGTCCAACCTTACCTTAGTTAAGCAATCTTTGTCTCGTCATCACAAGTGATAATTATGTTATCAACATACACAACAAGCATAGTGATGCGACCCTCATTTAGATGAAAGAATATCATATGGTTGGCGTCGATCTATTGATATCCCATGCCCACCATAGTTTTTCTAAACATGTCAAACTAGGCTTGAGGAGGCTGCTCCAAGTCGTAAAACAACTTCGTGAGCCTGCACACCTTGCCCACCGTTTGACCTGTACCAAATCCTGGTGGTATTTTCATATACACCTCACAAAAAAGAAAGGCACCCTTCTCATTGAGTTAGTGTAACCCCAACTCACCATTCACAGCTAAAAAAACCAGTGTCCTCACTATGCTCATTTTTACTACTAGTGCAAAAATCTTGTCATATTCAATGTCATGCGTCTAACTACTCCCTTTCGCTACCGATTGTGCCTTGTAATGCTCTACTTTTTCTTCTGAATTTTATTTTACTGTGAAGATTCACTTACACTTAACTACTCTTTTTCCCACTGCTACTGGTACTATCTCCCACGTCCTGTTCTTGTCGAGAGCATCGAGTTCCTCTAGCATAACGACCTTTCAGTTTGGATCTTCCTTAGCTGCATTTTGACATTTGAGAATAGAGACAATGCTCAAAGATGCAATGCGTGTTCTATGTACAGATGATATGTTAAAGTATGAGACAAACTGAGCAGTATCATGTGATAAACAAAATAATATAGAGATTAACGATCAGAAGAATGACCTGCAGTACTACAAGATGGTGTCCTTAAAGTCATGAAAGTGGGAGGAGAAGGGAGATGAATCATATCACCTGGGTAATTGAATTCTAAAGTGGATGGTGTAGGTGTCTTAGGAGTTGGGTTGACCGGGACAATGAACTTAATGACACGAGTGACATGACAGACATTGTTCCCTCATACTGACTCCTTGTATACACTTTCAACACCCCACGAGTATGAATCCCTCCACATTCAGACTTATTTTTCTCATTTTTTGGCTCTTCCTCGTTCGATCCTTCCCACACAACGAGAAAAGGAATCATTCCCACATGTATCAATATTTGACCATCACTACTCTCCCCCACGCCTCATAACTCCAGTATCTGACAAATCACCAAAGGGTGATGTCACATCCAGATGTAATATGGATCGTTTTCTCTAAATGACATCCACGCTCACAAAAAGTCTCCTCTATTGGACTCCAAAAAACATACCATTTCTGGGTAGCACAATAACTCACTTCACAGTCCTGAGACCCAGCTTTCCTG